ATAGTGTAGTTAAAAAAAAAAAAAAAGAATTACTGCGGTGCTTTTTTTTTTTGTTTCGGCGTTCTTTACAAATTGTAGCGGAATATAAATATTCGATTTTTATCTAGGTTACCAGCCGGGCTGTCGGGGTCACCTTTCCCGGGCGGCCCGGCCGTGCAAGGACTCAGGCAAGGTCCCAGCAAAAGAAGAAAAAGAAAAAGAAATCCAAAAAATCTGGAAAAAAAGTTAAAAAAACTCTGTTATTCTGAAAAATAAACTGAACAACTTTTGCCTCAGGGTCACATCGAAATTCGTTGCCAAATTCGAAATAAAAAATATAAATAAAGAACTTTTTTTTTTTTTTTTTTTGCCCGGCCGGGCAAGTGGTCCCGGCCACTCTGGTAGCATAGATTTTTTTTTTTTTTTTAAGTTGCCCGATGGAACACCGATCAGATATTAAAGTGATCAGATATGTTTTCACAAAAAAAAAAACGTACTCATTCTCATTTTGCACATTTGGTGAGTCGTGGAGCAAGGCCCTAATTTAAGTAAATGATGATACAGAAAGAAGACGAGATTAATTTAATCAGGATGCCTCCGGCGATATTAATCAGGATGACACGGGTAAATTACTAAATTGAGAGATGGTCCAAAATTTTGGAAAAGTATATTGTATGTATATGCCCTCCAGTTCCACTCTACTCCACACGACTCTATCTCGATGGTCTCCCCCCTCCACTTCTCCTCTCCTCTCCTCGACTCTGCTCCATCGCTCTGTACAGAACAGATAATATATAATAACAACACCGTCTTCTATTTTGTTCGGTTTCACTTTGCTCAATGAAGTAACTGAGACGACTATGGGCGTCGCTCCACTACTCCGGAAATGCACGAAAGACAAGAATCAAGGCGATAAATCTTTCCTTGTTCTAGAGGAAGATTCACTCTCGTTTTGCACATTTCGAGAGAGGTGGAGCGAGGCCCTATGGGGACTAAAACTGAAGACGAGGATACTTTTTTTTTTCCCACGATGCAATCAATCATTTCTACCGCAAATCGACGGTTGCGAGGGGCAAAGCCTCCTCCAGATCCGACGAATACGGGAGTGAAGTCAAGGACACTCCGTGAAGGCTGGTCATAGTGCCAGAGCTATATGCCCACGCAGTCCTGGGGGACTGGACCATTACACTAGGAGCATGGGAGATTCGCCTCCTCCTCTCGTTCTGCCCTGTTAGATCATGAATTCCGTCCACCAATTCCTCTTCCTCTTCCTCCTCTTCCTCCTCCTCGTCTTTCTCCTTTGCCTCCCTTACTCTCTCCTCCTCCTCCTCCTCGTCTTTCTCCTCTGCCTTCTCCCTCTCTTCCTCCTCCTCCACATGGTTATCACCCGGTTGATCTCCGCCTTCTCTGTTGGCATTCTTCGCCCACTTCACGTGGTATAATGGCAACGGCCATGGAGTCGCTTCCATAGCCAGCATCTCCATGGAACCGGCGGTCTCGTGATCGAGGCCCCGTATTCTTTCGAAAGCTCTTACGACATTCCGCATGGTCGGTCTTAGCTCCATTCTCTCGGACAAACACCTCCTCGCGAGCCCGATCAGCATGTATAACTGACTGCCATCGAATTCTCTCTGCAGTTTGGGGTCGGCCACATCCTTGGCCGACTCCTCGTCCGTGACCTGACGCTTCACCCAAGGCACCAAGGCGAAGTCCTTGCCGAAGGGTCTTCTTCCCGTAATGAGCTCCAGCAAGAGGACGCCATAGCTGTAAACGTCCACCTTCTCAGTCACCGAGAAGCCTTCGAAGATCTCTGGCGCCATGTAACCCAGCGTACCGGCGGGAACTGTCATCAAGTTGTTGACGTCCGGATTGATCGTCCGACAGAGACCGAAGTCCGCCACCTTGGGAGAGAAATCCCCTTGCAGCAGAACGTTCTCAGGCTTGATGTCTCGATGAACAAGCGGGGGAGAGAGAGAGTGGTGGAGGTACTCAAGCGCCATCGCCACCTCGTGGGCGATTCGCACTCGCGTGGGCCAATCAAGGACGCGCCGAGATGGTGGTGGAGCGCCCAAACCCCCTCCTCCATCTTTCTCTATTCCCAACGAGCCAGGCGAAAGAGGAGGAGATTCTGAACTGGAAACAGCAGCAGCTGCTGACGAAGGAGAAAGAGTAGCGGGAACCGCCGGAGTAGGAGCAGCAGCGGGATGAGGAGGAGAAGTTGAACAAGGAGGAGGAGGAGGAGGAGGAGGAGGAGGAGTAGCAGCAGCGGGATGAGCAGGATAAGTAGAAGAAGGAGGAGGAGGAGGAGGAGGAGGAGGAGGAGGAGGAGGAGGAGGAGGAGCATGGTGGAGATGATCTCTTAGTGTGCCGTTGGATACGTACTGATAGATAAGAAAATAACGATCCTGCTCAGTACAGAACCCAACGAGCATGACAAGGTTTGTGTGCGAAATGCGTCCCAGAATGCTGACTTCTTGGAGGAACTCCCGTTCGCTCCTCCACCGCTCTCGCTTCAGCGACTTGATGGCAACTACCTCCCCGTTTGCCAGGATGGCTTTATAGACGTCGGAACTCCCGCCTTGGCCGATGACAGTGGCAAAGCCGTTCGTCGCCTCGCTGAGTTCTTTGTAGCTGAAACTCCGCAGTCGCTGGAACTCCGACGGGGGCTGCGAAAGTCCTTTCTCCTTGTTGAAGAAACGTTGAGGCAACGAGCGCGGCTGCCGCCGCCGCCGCCGCTTCTGCTTCCAGGCGTGCGCTCCGAGACATGCTGCTGTGGCAGTCAACAGGACGCTGCCCGCCGTGATAGCGATAGCTAGCGCCGCCGCTTCCGCATGGCCGCCCAACATGCCGCCCCTCGTGCGTTTCCCGCCTCTTTCATCTGCTGCCCTTCGAATACCGCCCCCCGCCGGCGGCGGGGCTGGCGGCGCTGGCGGCGCCAACGGCGTATCGAACGGTTCCAGCGGCCATCTTTCCGCTGTTTCGTCGATCGGGATCCGGGTGGCATTGCAGCATAAACCGAGGTAACTGCACTCAGCACACGCACCGGAGGTGTTGTTCTCAACATCAATCATCGGGTCAGCGACACCTGCCCTCCGGATGCACGTGCGGACGACACCACTACCCACCTCTTCGCCGCCACTGGACGAGCATTGCGCAATATCCACCGTCTGATTTCCGGGATAGAGCAAATCGACGTCCATGTCGACGGCTTCAGGACATGATGACGACGGTCGATTGCCACCATTGACAGACGGCGTCGGCGGAGGTGGTTCTTCGTCGTCGTTGGCGGACGCAATCGCCGCCACGTGCCTGAACTCCACCCCGCAGAATCTCACTTGAGGGCTTACAACGCCTTGAAGTTCGCCGAGTGATGAAGAAGTCGAGGAGTGGATGTCCATTAGAAAGGCGGAAAGATTGCACGCTAGTTTGTGGAACGTGCAGTTCACGAACGATATCGTTGTGTTCTGCGACGCCGCCATAGCCGGAAGGCCGGCGTCGCTAGCGCCCCCGTCGCTAAGAGCGCCGGCAGAAGCTATCAAGCCCCTTGCCGCCGGCATTGACGACGCGATTGGCGGATCAGGAGATGGAGGAGGAGGTGGTGGTGGTGATAAGGACGGCGAGGGGGAGGTAGAGGAGGAGGAGGAGGAGGAGGAGGAGGAGGAGAAGGAGGAGGAGGAGGAGGTTGACATCGGATCGACAGACAGTTTGATGTTCCCGGTCTTGAATGTACCGACAGAGTCAACGTAGCCGAACTCGCAGTCAAAGAACCGTACAATCTTGTCCCGGCTAACTCCCGTCGAAGAGATGGTCAGCGCCATCTCCCACGTGCGATTGGAGAAGAACACAGAGCGCGAGATGCACACGGAGCGGGGAAGTCCCATCAACTGCAGCCCGTCCCTGAGATCCCCGAAGAAGCACCTGTCTATCACTACCGTTCGTGTCGGATAGCCACCCTCACAGCCTTCGCAGCCATAGCCAGTCTTATCGCTGTCGCCATAGCCATCTATCTCAGGCCTGAATCTGGATGATGGGTAGGAGATGGACAACTGCGTGCCCGCTCTAAAGGCGCAGTTGTGCAATTCCAGTCTCGTGTTGTTGAGCTGCATGCACGTCGATTGAAAGTCGAGATTGTAGCAAGATAATGATCCCCTTCCTAATTGCCCATCATGCCGGTAGCAGAAAGCCCCATTGCACCCATTTATAATGCACCTGCGTAGCCCGCAGTCTCCCATCAAAGTAATGTTGGCGTCAACGTTAATTCGCAGCTCCACGTTCAAAGGGAAGGACAAGTGCGCTCTCACCACTATCGTCACTGACGACCGCGTTGCCGTCACCGGCGACATCATAGCCTCCATCAGGGCTGTCTCATTGGATACATAGATTATTTCCTCGTCGATCTCATTCTGCTCCTGCTGCTGCTGCTGATGCTGCTGCTGCGGCTGCTCGTTCTTGCCTTCCAACTTCCTATTCCTGCTCCTGCTACTACGATTCGACATACTACCAGTTCCGGACAAGTGCGCTCTCACCACTATCGTCACTGACGACCGCGTTGCCGTCACCGGCGACATCATAGCCTCCATCAGGGCTGTCTCATTGGATACATAGATTATTTCCTCGTCGATCTCATTCTGCTCCTGCTGCTCCTGCTGCTGCTGCTGCTGCTGCTGCTGCTGCGGCTGCTCGTTCTTGCCTTCCAACTTCCTATTCCTGCTCCTGCGACTACGATTCGACATACTACCAGTTCCACTAAGTAGCAGCTCTTCCACAAGGGCTGTTCCCCTGGACGCCCAAACGATTTCCCCGGGGACATCGTTCTGCTGCTGCTCCTCTTTCTTGTTCCACTTCGTTTTCCTCCTCGACCTTCTCCTACTACTACTACTACTACTAGTACTACTACTTCTAGTACTACTACTACTAATTCCAGTACTATTACTACTACGACTACTACTTCTAGTACTACTACTAGTAATTATAGTACTACTAGTACTAATTCTTCTAGTACTACTACTACTGATTCTAGTATTACCACTACTACTGCTACTTCTAGTACTATCTCTAGTAGTACTACTACTAATTCTAGTACTACTACTAGTACTACTACCCCAGATCCTACGGCTCGACTTCCCCGGACTAGACCGCATGCGAGTAATACCTGAAGTCATTGCAGCTGTTATGACGGATACAGGTATAATGCCGTTTGGTCGTTTTCGAGGAGGGAAGACTGGAATGCTATCCCTGATCGATTCATCTGCCAAGTCTATCTCTGTTGCTCTGAGACTCTGCTTTTTCGTTGTCGCCAACGACATATGTGCTTCCGCACCATGATGCCTGCCACCTCTTCGGCAAGCAAGATCCCAAGGGCGTAATGCCCCCCCGCCCTGTCTCCGTTTCTCATCTCCGTGTTCTATCTGCCATGATGATGTCCATGATTGGCTGAAACAATATGATGATGATGCCCACAGGCAAACTACCATCGTTATGCACCCCATCAACGACGCAATACCCATCGCTCTCCAGCCTCTTAGCTGCCCTGCCGCAGATTGGAAATCACGCCACTCTCAGATACCTACACTCGTTCTGCCATCTCCGACCTGCCCCCAACCCCCCTCTCTCTCTCTCTCTCTCTCTCTCTCTCTCTCTCTCTCTCTCTCTCTCTCTCTCTCTCCACATTCAATGTGACTGCTGCTCCTCCATCCCCCTTAATTAGCCATATTCAAACGCTGTTCCGTAGCGAGAAAAAGACGGAGCCCTCTCTCTCTCTCTCTCTCTCTCCACCCCCCCTCTACTGCCGCTCCTCCATCCCTCTTACTTAGCCATATCCAAACAATGTCCCATCTGTAGGAAAGGGCGGTGCAACCCTCTCTGTCTCTCTGTTTCTCTCTCTCTCTCTCTCTCTCTCTCTCTCTCTCTCTCTCTCTCTCTCTCTCTCTC